ATATATATATATATATATATATATATATATATATATATATATATATATATATATATATATATATATATATATATATATATATATATATATATATGTTTTCGTAGATTTTCACGGGTACAGGTATGCAGGTCTTGGCGTATTTGGGTCTTTTCCCGTGTAAGATTGAGAGTATCTTGGCGATGTTTCGACGAGGTCCCACTCGTCATCTTCAGGCTGGGGTCTTCGGCTTCGTGCTTGTGCGAGCAAAGTGTGATCGGAGCTGCCGTCTCTCTATAAATATTGGTGGGGGTGTGTGGAGTGCTGGCTTAGTTGCTGTAGGTGGGTTGGTTGACTGTGTAGGGGTTATTGTTTGCGGATTGTTCAGCTGTTTCGTAACATCCTGAGTAGTTGAGGTGCTGGCTTACCCAGGTCGTTATAACACAAAAGACTAATGGGCACACAGCCAGCATCTCAACTACTCAGGATGTTACGAAACAGCTGAACAATCCGCAAACAATAAACCCTACACAGCCAACCAACCCACCTACAGCAACTAAGCCAGCACCCCACACACCCCCACCAATATTTATAGAGAGACGGCAGCTCCGATCACACTTTGCGCCTGAAGATGACGAGTGGGACCTCGTCGAAACGTATATATCAGAATTTGATCCTGGGAAGAAAAAGGACCAAAGAAACTCTCCAATTCCCAGCTTACCCACGGATATAAATTATGAAAAGCCAATAACCGACACCTGCAATGCTGAATTCTGGATTACAGGGCCTGACTTGCAAAGCTCTTTTGGAGAAAAACAAAAGTAGAGGGTAAGGATGTATTTGTACACATGTTAAGTATCGTCAAATTGGGAAGGACACTTGCCTGTATGGAGAAGCATATGGCGGATGAGAACCCTCTTGTGTGCGGTGGCGAAGCCGCATTCTGTGCATTTGTGGATCTTCTCACTGGCATGCATCTTGCCAACGTGATCGTGGAATTCCACCGAGTTAAACGTGGCAAAGGGGCAGAAGCTGCACTGGAGTTCCTCATTCCCTGGGTGGCCTTGCTTTTTATGCTTGCGGAAGACATGCTTGTTGGAACAAATAAAGTCACACTGTTGGCAATGGAAGGCATAATGGGTTTTACGATGGGTCTCCATAATCTCCGTCGAGGGGAAAAGCAGAGAGCAGGCATAATACTTGCACTCCACTGCTTTAATGCCGTGAACCTCCTTGACGTGCCTCAGAAACTCCTTGCGATCTTCCGTGGCGTAACTGCAGCCGGCCTGAAAGCAGCTCAATTGCTTGGGCTCTGTCTTGTGGGTCTTCAGATGTTCCTTGAGGGTCTGGCTTAGTTTAAACTTCTCTTTGCACACAGGACAAGAGTATACGTCTGAATAGAAATTGGAGATGCCCTCGTGCATGCTGGCCATGTGCCTGTTGAGGGCATTCTTCTCAACTGAGCTGTAGTGGCACAATGGACAGCAATGGGTTTTCTCTCCGGTTTCACGCATCATGTGGATCTTCAGTTTGCTCTTGCTAGTGAAGAATTTCTGACAATTTGGGCACTGCAGCCTGGGGTCTGGGAAGTGGAGGTGAAGATGTTCTACCAAGTGGGTCCGCTTCTTGAAGCAGCGCTTACATTCTGGGCACATGTGGGTCTTGAACAAATATTTGGACTCCTCGGTGGCATTTCCTGCACAAGACAAATCGCAGTTCATTACAGAAAAATGAAAAGTAGAAGCCTGTTATGTGCTTTGTCTCACTTCCAGGAACAATCAGCTTTTTGAATAGGAATCACTTTTCATGTTGCTTCTTATAGAACTCCATGTTACTATTAAGCTCAGGGGTGATTTAGAGCAGGGGTCCCCAATCCCTGGGCTGCGGCCCATTACCAGGCCATGGCCTATTCCAGTGATGGCGAACCTTTTAGAAACTGAGTGCCCAAACTGCATCCCAAAACCCACTTATGCATCGTCGAGTGCCAGGTGGGTGTGGCCCATTGGCTGGGTGTGGCCAATTGGGTGGGCGTGGCCCATTGAGTGGGTGTGGCTGCGGTGGTAATGGCAGACTGGGTGGGACTAAAAAGTTCAATCAATCAATTCCAACTTTGCAAGATCTTTTTTTCCCCGCAACAAATTGAAATTGACTGATTGAACCTTTTTTTTTTTTTGCACATGGCGGCGGAGGCCTAAAGCAAAAAGGTTTTATAAAACCCAGCTGAAGGCCTAGGACTGGGGCGACGGCGCACGTGCCCACAGAGAGGGCTCTTGAGTGCCGCCTCTGGCACCCGTGCCATAGGTTCGCCACCACTGGCCTATTTGGAATCGGGCCACATGCACATGTGCTCCGAGCTTAACTTGCACAAGTCAAGCTGTACACGCATGTGTGTGCATGCTGGCCCTGCCACTCGTGCAGATCAAACTGTGTGCATGAGCACCAGGCCGCCGCTCGCACGACCTGGTTCCCCTCTTCCTCTCCAGCCGGGCCGCCAAGCTGCAAAGGTTGGGGACCACTGATTTAGAGGCAATCTGAAAATTTGTCAATACCTACTAGAAAGTAGCTATTTTACACAGCATCCTATTTTACTCCAGAAAAAAAATGACATTTGTTTAAATGATTTCCGATCTTCTTTTCAGCAGATAATTACAATAATTAATTATAATCTTATTATCCTCCTCCCTATTAGACGTTATTCAAACCTCTTCAACCCTTTGTTTAATCCACATCTTTCTTAATCTTCAAATCCATAAAGTTCTTCTTCTGTCTTTTCTTCTTTGAGCAAAAAATCCATATAAGGTTTCCAGACTTTCAAAAGTTTTTGTTTTTCTCTTGAACCAAACAGATCAGTTTTGCCGTTTGGGCAAATTCCGACATTTTCACAATTAACTTTTTCACTGTGGGATTTCATTATTCTTCCATTGCTATGTACACAATAATTACTGTACACAAAATCAATCTACTATATTTCTTTTCCACTTCATTGTACATAGATCCCAATAAAAAGAATTCTAGTTTCCTCACAATATTAACCTTTAAAATCCTTTGCATGATTCTATAAATTTGTATTCAAAGTTTCTTAGCATTCTCACAAGTCCACCTTGCAAGAAGTTTAAAATATTTTTGTATATTCTCTGGTGTCATATAGCAATATTACATCATTTTATTAAAAATGTCTCTTATATTATGACATAATATAAATTTAATACCAGT